ACACAGTAAACTCTTAGTGGCCTCTAAAAGCCACATTTTTGCTCTCAATTTTTCACTGTGACGTCTGCTTTAAATTACTCTGCACTGTCTATACCCCACTTCCCAACCAGATTAATCTTCCATGTTCTTTACCTTTGGGCTTAGGTATCACCTCCTCCAGGAAGCCTTCTTTGATTTTCCTAAACTGGGTCAGGAGTTCTCTTGTGTACTCAGCACAGCATTTTAGTAGTCTGTTTACTTGTCTAAAGCCCCCACTAAATTGTGACCTCTTTGTGGATGGGGAATACAGCTTTACTTCTGTTCCTTGAAGGATAAAGTCTCAGATACATGCTTGAAGCTCATTAAAAAGCTTGAAATAATCACATACACAAAATGAATTCAACAAATACTCACTGAGCACCTATTATGTGCCAGGCACTGCTCTCCAAAACAGACTGACAAAAATCCCTGCGCTCAAACCAGGATTTACTGGGAAGGGACATAAGGGAACTTTGAAGGGTGATGGCTTATGTTCTACGTCATGCTGGGGTGTGGATGACACGGCTACGTCCACTTGACAAAGCTGGATGGCAAGATGTGTGCATTTCAGTATGTAGATTTTACCTCACAAAGAACTTTTAAAAAATAATTAAGCAGGTGTGAAGAGTAAAGCTGAAGTGAAAAAGGCAGGATGCTGGTAACGGCTGAAGCTGGGCAAGAGGTACAGGAAGTTTGTTCTAATCTGCTGTTTATGTATGTTTGCGATATACCCAAATTAAAGTTAAAAGAAATCTCTGCACTCATGTGAATAAATATTAAGGAATTAGAATAACAGCTCCAGCATCACTACAGTTTCTGAATCAGGAATAGAAGGGAAGGAGAAGAAATGAACAGTTAGTTAGAGGGCACTGAAGATGATGGACCAGGTACTTCACAGAAGTTTTCTCCTTTAATCCTCAAAATAATTTTGTGAGATATTTCTTCCCCCGTTTTATAGATGAGGAAACTGGGACTTGGAACGCTTACACAACTTGCCAGCTAAGTAAAACAGCCAAAATTAGAACCCACATCTATCGGACTCCCCCAGCCTCTTTCCATCGTGTTTCACACACCCTTTTGCCACTGCCACAGTCCCAGAGGCTAGGACGCCAGCTTGGGCTTGTGTTGGGACTGGCAGAGTCTGAAGAAACTCCAAGCATCCCCTCTAGTCACAACAGACACCACTCTTACTGCCTCTGTCTTAGTCCAGAATTATACCTTGAAAAATTAAATTATGAAAACTGCAAGGAATAATAGTTATGCCCCAGAATCGGCCCTACACCATTGGCAATGGTTGTGGTATCACAATTCTCTGTGATAACACGCAATATTTCTATTTATATTCCTGGTCCTTAAAGACCTGGGTGAGTCTCATCTGGGCTCCTGATTCCTGGGGTCCATACAGATGTGACGATGATTTGGCCCAGAGTCCTAGTCAAGCTTTGGCCATTGTCATCCAGGGTCATGCTGTAAGTGGCAACTTCTCCATCAGGGCTTGCTACACCAACCACTGTGTAAACTTGTTTTCTGCCAACATCCAAGCGGACTCAACCTCAGAGTCGCCGAGGAAGCTGACACCGCCGGTAATAAGAGGCTGCGTGTGTCCCCTTCCTGGCCATAGTGTCACTTTGACAGATGTCAGACTTAGCATCACTAGAGATAGGCCCATCATGGACTTGGAAAGCTGCTGTCATTTCCAAATGCAGCTTCTTGCAGCCAAAAAAACACACGGTGCTCAGATGTGCCAAATGTATGGAAATATGGGCAACTTCCCTGCTGTTCACATGCACGAATGTCCTAATCGCCAGCAGAGGCAAAGGCTGTGGTCCAAGCACACGGTTCCTTTAGAGCCCATTTAGTGCTAAATAAAAATTCTCACGATAGTGATAAATTTGAATCATAATCTCTGCTTATACTGCTGAATTCTCACCCATCTGTACTGTTATCTTCATCTACAATAACTGGCCCCCAAAACATTTTATCAGAGTAAGTGCTTTATTCCAGTCAGGAGCCGGGTGATTAAGTCCTGGAGAAGCAGCTTGATACCCAGTCCAGAATGTTAATTACTAACATAATTATCAAAACCTTTATTTTTCAGGGTTAAGTCAAGCATCTCTGTGGGCAAGGTAACTTTTTGGCTTGTTTGTCTTTAGGTTCTCCAGTTAACACGAAATTAGCTCCTAAGGACCCTGGACTTTGGGACTTTTTAAAGCGAAACATAAATATCTAATATCTCTTCCGTCTATAGAAAATTTCAATCCCCTAAACTTACCCAGAGGATCTGAAGTGCAACAAATTCAAAAAACCAGTTTAACCCGTCACCCAAAACTCTCCATCCTCAAGGCTGTCTCTAATGATTTTCTTCTACAACAAACTTACTGGTACTTTTTCCCTAGAAAATGTTTTTGACCCTTAATGTGTTACTATTTCCTCTGAGTGCTGCTGGATTAACTCTCCTCCAAGTCGTCTCACCTCTGGGGCTACTTACTAGCACAGAAAAGAGTATTCAGCTGCAAATCCTCAGACTGAAGTTGCCCCAACAGCCGAGCAGGGAATAAGTCTGTCTACTCGTCCAAAGGCAGAATTTAAAGTCTAGAAATACAGGTAAAATCTGATGCATGATGAACTGAAAGTTATGGCTTTTCAAGAAAATTAGTTCCAGTAAGAACTCAACTTGTGATGAGCTAACCATCATGAGGGAACATTCCCTAAGTTGCCGGGGATGCATGCATGACCTGAATGATGACCTTAAAACACTTCTAATTTCTGGACTCCTGCACCGTGTGAATGACACAGGAAACACGCAGCATCTTATCTGGTCAGTCTTCAGCATTTGCCTGGAATCTCATCGAGAACTTGAGTAAGCTGACTTGGGAATCTTACTTTTCTCACTAACTACAATTTTAAGGAATGAAGACAGTTTCCAGCCTAGGTGGAATTAGCGCCCATCAATTTTACCCACCACCACATTCCTGCACCTTCAATGAGAACTAATTTAGTGCGCGTGGTGTCTTCTCCCCCATACCGTCTTCTGTAGCTCTGGAACGGAGCACACCAAATTAGGCCCATCTGTCTAAATGGGAAGAAGTTATTTATCCCACGCTCCAGGCAGTAGTCTTTTTCCACCTAGAAGCTGCCTTCTGAGGTTCCCAAGCACTGTGGGAAGATTATGGTAACCCTACCTCTTAACTGGCCAGAGTGTTGGGACGAGCAGTTGAGTGTCATATCAAGGATCATCTGCCAATTCACAGCTGTCAGTTCCTTGCACGGTGACATATCCAGGGAAGCCACAGAGCATGCTACCATACTGTGATCCAAGGTCAAAATCGCAACATTCAAGAACTCACTGCCATAATTAAGCTGTTGTTTGGCTGCAATTTCGCCAAAAGGAAAGCCTTTTTTCATCAACTGTGCCCCAACACAGCCTAATTAATTTTAACAGTCTTGTCCCATGAGGATACTTTCTTAAAAGGAGGGAAATAACCCTCCTCTCACATGCCAGAGGACAAAGTTATAGACAAGAAGCCCTTGGTAACAATGACGCCCACGCACCTGCCTGGGCCATGGTGTCGGGCTCCCAGGGTGATGTCTCTCTGCCCTCAACTGATGCTTCTCGGCCTCAATCACTTCTAATATACTAACTCCACCCCTGTAGAACACTAAGTCACCTGAATAAGGAAGAAGGATCAATAGTTATGTGACAGTTGTGATATAATGCTACTTCTGACCTAAGAAATCTTTACGTGGATTGAGTTAAGGAAAAAAATGAAAGTGCATACGAACACCAGCATCTTACAGTGTAAGTGAATTACATCCACATACGGAACATACAGCTATGGTTCCTAAACTACTTGTGTTCCTTATCCTACAGGGCTTTTAAAACATAAAAGAAATTACTAATAAAAGAATTATCTGTTACTTATTTTTTCATCTCTAAGTAGATTTATGGAAAATTTTTTAAAAGATAAGGATTCAATTGAATTGGTAGTTCTCAAACTTTTTTTTTTTAAAGCAGAGGCACCCTGTTACTCAAAACAGATCTACGTAGCCCCCTAATATATAAAAGATGCTCAAAAAGGAGCTGGCCCAGATGAGGAGACATGGAGAGTAGAGCCTTTTCTTCTGCCTCCCATTCCTGAAGTGTTCTTAAGGGCACCACAGTGAAACAAAACAATTTGTAAAGCACTGAACCAAAATGAATCCAAGAATAAAATACACAGCAAATTTAAATTAATAAATGCAAAAGTTTCAGTAAAGTACTTGATAGTAAATGCACAGCATGGAAATACCAGCACACACACAGATTATAAAGACCTAAGCTATTTATTTACTATTTATCACATGCAAGTTCAAATGCTCCACAAATTGTACACATAAAGGTCTTTACAAAGCAACAAAATGAATTTCAATGCACCTGAGTGAGATAAGAGAATATAGCCATGAAAAATGGTGATTACAAAGAGGTCTTAATGACACAGAAGAACTATAATAAAATGTTAAGTACAAAAGCAAGAATTACATTGCTGATGCAAAAATGCCCAGAAAAACACCAAACAAAGATCTGGTAAAACAGCAACATGGTTATTGCTAGCTGACAAATTAGGGTGGTTTCTTGCTTCTTTAAATTTTATTTTGTTTTTAAAAAAAAGAAGGAAGGAAGGAAGGAAGGAAAGAACTAGACTAGACCTCTTTTTTTTGGCTTAGAGTCAGTAAAAATGTAGTGGGCCAAGAGTGAAAAGATTCTTTTCCCTTAAGTTAAAAAATAATAATAAAATTAAAACGCAGTCTTTTAATGAATACAAAAATTTGATCATTATGGCCCCCAACAAATACTCATTCAGTTTGATATCCACCAAACTGGGTTGATTCTTTCGTGGCCTACAGAGTGACGCCCCATGCACAACCGTTAGAGGAGCCAAGGAGGGGACAGTGGACCAGGAGCAGCCCAGCCAGGCAACAGTACCTTCCCAGGGGCCACTCACCACATCCAGGTCCTGGGAAACCCGCCGTTTCCGCAGCTCCTCCATCCTCTCGCACACGTCGGAGAAACAGGTATTGTAATAATCGGCATACTGCTGCGCCAGGTCATCGATGTTTCCCAGGGAGCCGTCCTGAGGGCAGGGGAGGAGGGCAGGGGGAAGAAACAGGAAAAGAATAAAGGCAGTCAGTCCACATGCAAATGCCCCATGTCATTTGGTCCCTCTCTATGCAGCGTTTATTCTAGTAACAGCTAGTGTTATTTAAGTGGCAAATGTGTGCCAGGCTACATTTTCCAAGCAACATCTGTAATCCTCAGGACAGCCCTCGGACACAGGACCTATTTTCCTCACTGAATAGATGGACAAACAGCAGCTCAAAAAAGTCAAGCGACACTCCAAGGATTCCACGACTACCAAGCAAAGCAGCCAGGCCTCCAACTCAGGACTGCCTGATGCCAAAGCCATGGTTTAACTCACACCCTTGCCTGCCTCACAGGGCCAAGAAATTCCCAGGGAAAAACACTGTGTCAGTGTGAGGCTCCCAGCGCCCAACTGGTGGCTGCATCAGAACCTCCCAGGAAACTTTTGAGAAATCTAGGTGCCAGGACACCACTCCTAGGAAATCCGATGGAAGCTGAGAATTCATAAGCCAACAGGAAATGCTGCATCTGCGGCGAGACCATCAGAAAAGTGGGACATCTTATTCCCCAAGTCATTCAGGTACAGATACAAGAAGAGGACATGGTATAAATTCACCTCCATAAATAAGGAAACGCATCTGTCTCTCCACTGAGGGAAGTGCCCGGACGCTGCACTGGGGCCCACACCCCTGAGTTCACACCCAGCTCTGCTGCCACTTCCAGTTTGGCATTTACTTGTGTTTTCTAATCCCTGGCAATGCTGGGATTGCAGCAACAGTACCCACCTCCCCGTAAGGAGTAATGAATGAAGTACCGTGAACCCTGGGGACTTGTCCCTCATAGTTCTCCTGCACACGATAAGTGCTCAAAATTTCCTTAGTAAGAGTCACAGAGGTTGACGTTGCACATTACAGTCTTCCTTTAGGGGAGCTGACTCCTAAATACACATCTGAACACCTACACTTAGGATGACAAAGTGCTGTGTACATTTGTAGGTTATGTCATTTCTTCATTCATTCATTCATTCATGCAGAGAAACATCTCCCTGCCCCTTTTCACCTCCCAACATGTTCTTTCTTTGGTATGAATAAATGACCCTACCAAGATAACCAAGGAAAATGATTTTACCCAGGTAATCAAGGAAAACACAACTCTTAGACAACCAAAGAGGTGCACACACTTTTTTCCTTGGGACAGACCGCTGGCCAGAGCCGTCACACAGTTAATGTTAAGTTAAGCACATCACCCTTGGCGGCACACGTTTAACACTGGAAAGCACGCTCAGCTGCGGGCAGGGTTTGGGAATTAAGAGTTCTCCAAAAGCCTTTCTGATAAAGACCTCAAGGCCCCGATCAGGCAGCGTGGGTCAGAGCAAGTGATCATCTCTTTTACACTTCTGCATTTACTGAGTTTACAGAACTAACGGAGTGGAGAAACAGAAATTGAAAGAAATGATTTTTTTTTTTAGAAAAGATTCTTCCTTTCTCACCAGTAAAGTCATCTACGTTTGAGGTAATTGCCTCAAAGTCTCCAGTGCAGAGTTAGAGGTGGGAAGCTCTTTACAAGAACAGTAAGATGTTTGAACATTTGAACATGTCTGGGCAAAAGTCATTCCCTCATCGCAGTCTGGCTGAGACAACAGGCTGGATGGACACAGTAGAGGAGGCAGGAGCCTATCCTCACCTTCTAAATGATCACTGTCAAGTTTCCAGTAGGGAGACAACAGGGGTCAAAATGGAAAGTCTACCGCTAGCCTCCTAGGAAACGCATGGAGGCAGGGAGCCTACCAGTCTTGGCTTTACTGCCTCAGTAGAGGTGACACTCCTGACAAATAGCACCAGAAATCAAATTATGATCCTCAGGTTTGCCCTGACTCGTCTCAACTCAGCAGCACATGCCCATGGGCCACAACAGGAAAATCTGCAGCCTCCTGACTGATTCTCCTGACTCCTTCCCACTTTGCCTCACCTGCCTTGGACCCAGCCCCCAAAGTGACTTTGCAAAACAGAGATCAGATCTGGTCTCTCTCCCCTGAGAATGATCCATGCCACCCCCATCACCCATCCTACAAATAAACCCCAAACTTACCAGCCTGGCTTTCGGGCCCCTTCATCTATGCTCCCCAGTCCCAGCTGGGTGGAGAGAGGAGCTGATGCCTGCAGACCAGGAGAACCAGAGGAGCCAGGGCGCAACAGGGAGTCCCGACAGCACAGCTTTCCCCGCGGATTGGTCCCCAACCCTACCCCGCACCTCAGCCCCAACACCAGAAGAAAAAATTGTAAGAAACTTTAGGAGAGAGAGAGGCCAGAAGAGCTGCTCCCATAGGAGGACCTGTTCCAATCACCAACTACCGACAGCCAGGACTAGGACAGCAGGTGCCCACTGAGGCAAAGGCTCGAGTCCACTGCCACCTCGGCCAGTGCAGAAGCATCTTATCATCAGGGTATCTGCCTTTTGACCCAGGATGTCTGCTTACACTTGCAAGACACAAAGCCCTCACCAACCCAGTTCTCTTCTTGTTTTTTAGTTCCTTCCCCAAGAGCATACTGGGAAAGGCCAAGCAGCTTCCTTCAGAGGGCGTTTTGGAAGGTGCAGGAACCAGACTCACAACAACGTGACCTGAGAACTCATTTTTATAAATTAGCCCCCCAATCCTGCCACTCCCCACAGCAGCTGGGGCTCCTGGAAGACTCCAGGCTCTTTAGAATTGTCTTAGTCTCTTGAGAATATGATGCCATCCTCATCCAGAAACTCCTGCCTTCATCCACCCAGGAAATGAAACACACCTGCCTCCTTCAACCAAATACATAATCTGTATCTTCTAATACCTGAATGAACTTACTTCTGAGAGAGGTTATACCCACACTTTCCTAAGGCTTGCTGTTCTTAATGGAAATTAACCTCTCTCTGTCTCTCTCTCCCCCTCTCCCACTCCCTCTTAGTCACAGAGGCACTAAGAGCTGTACTGAGCAAGCCAAGACACTCCAGTCTCGGTGCTGGCTTCTCAGAAATAATCAGCTTTCAAGTTTATGAACTGCATGACTGACCACAATCAACTATTATTTTTTCAGGTGGATTAATCAAGGCCAGTTGAAAAAGTCATAAATATGATTATTTATGTAGTGTTTTTCAAATTACTCTTTCCCTTTTTCTCTCCTCTCTTATATCTCCTAGAACACCTTCAAAGCCAACTGTTCACTTCGCCTCTCATGTTTCCAGGCTGCTGATCAAACTTGTTTTCCTGTTAGTAAAAAGGTCTAATTCCCTGTCCCTTACATCTAGTCAATCAGAACTCCCCAACAATCCGGCAGCCTGGAAAATAGGTCTCTAGCTCACGAGAGGAAGAAAGCAGATGTTCAAGTCAACTCAGACCAAAGACAGCAAACATTTCACACTCTGCAACATCCACTCCTCACTTGGTGCTCAGAGATGATAATTTAGAATAGGGTGGCACAGCTGCCTCTCTTTTCCCAAATTGCCTTCCAGATGTGCAGTAAGTCCCCATAATTACCACTTTCATCAGTCTTGATAATTTAAATGCCAAGAAAGGCGAAACAATTTTTTAAAGTGTGTGTGTGTGTGTGTGTTTGTGTTTTAAAATAGATCTTGTCTGCCACCCTCAGAAAGGAATTTTTTTTCCATCCCAATCAAATGGAACCAAGGAACCCCATGATGATTTTCTCTTTATCCACTCAAAATCCATGCTGTTTCAGGACTATCTGGAAAACTCTGCATCCTTTCTAGCTAACTTGTTCTTACTTGAGATAGCACAGACCTACTTAGTAAAAATATTTACTCTTACTAAAATATTTGCAACATTAGTCTGTAGGGAATTTAAATAATGCAGCCGATGTTTCAACAGCACCACACCTAGTATATCTTTTCTTGGGGGGGAATGTGAAGTTCACGTCTGACTCGACACCCACGACGCTAATGCCAAGAGGCACTGATGTTAGAAATAAACTTCTAAATATATAGTATGACTTTACACTATAAATGTCTACATTTATTATAATAAATATTATTATTAAAATACTGAGACACATTTCTTTTTAAACTTTTTTTTCCTTTTAAGGTGTTAAAAGTTTCTGCTCTAGAGTGTATTACTTGTCTAATTTGTTTCATTTCTTATTTCCCCCCGTTGGTTCACATGCATTAGACTGAAGCAGTATTAGCTCAAGTTTAGGAACAGAGAAAAAATCTTATTTCCTCAAAATAACCTTTCTAAAGCAAATTGTGAAATTTTGTGTCACATTATCTGTTTAAAAGAATTTTCCCTTAAGTCGTTTAAGCTGCGTATATATTCTGGAGATCAAGCCTTTGTCAGTTTCATTTGCAAAAATTTTCTCCCATTCCGTAGATTGTCTTTTTGTTTTACTTTTTGTTTTCTTTGCTGTGCAGAAGCTTGTAAGTTTCATTATTCTGGTTTCCTTTGCTCTGCAGAAGCTTGTAAGTTTCATTAGGTCCCATTTGTTTATTCTTGCTTTTATTTCTATTGCTTGGGTGGACTGTCCTAGGAGAACATTTTTGAGATGTATGTCACATAATGTTTTGCCTATATTTTCTTCTAGGAGGTTTATTGTATCTTGTCTTATGTTTAAGTCCTTGATCCATTTTGAGTTTATAAAATGACTATAACTAAATAAAAAAATATTTAACAAATAAAAATAAAGAATTTTCCCATCTCTGTCAAATTTAAAATAAAAAAAAAGGAAAGAAAGTTACACAGGCAAATTCAAGTTCTTTTCCCATTTGTTATTACAAAACCAGGTCAGAGTATCTTTCCATACGACCATCCATTTCACTTGGTATGAACTTCTGTGGTCCCACTGCCAGTGTCAGCTCAATGGAAGACAAACTTGTATAATTTTCCCATGAAGTCATAGCACACATTTATACCAAACACCCATCTTTTTTATATAACCAACATAAAAATGTAGAGATAAGGGGCATTGTACCAAACAATTCAGATGGGGTCAACTGTTGTTACAA